CCCCCTCACACCTGTGCTGGCACTGCCCCCTCACACCTGTGCTGGCTCTTTCCCCCTCACACCTGTGCTGGCTCTTTCCCCCTCACACCTGTGTTGGCACTTTGGGCAAAGACCGCTGGGTCCTTTTCCTCTCACCCCTCTTGACAAAAGAAGGCAGATAACAGGGAGATTGGCGAAGAGGGAAGTGATCTCCCATAACCCCCACAAGGCCCCTGGGTCTCTGGCTCTGCTGTCAGTGAGGCTGGCAGCAGCGGCCTCCCCGCTCCGGTGTCTGTTTCCACATCTGCAGAGGATAAAGGCAGCGCTCATGCGCCAGTGGCATGCAGGCAATTCTGGCCCACAGTCTTGCTTGTCTTGGCCCCCATAGCTTTAAATATTTTTCAAATGAGTTGCTGAGGTTTGAAAATACAGATCGTTTACTTTTGTGTCTGTTTTCAGTCTTCCTTTGAAAGAAATAGGAAAATCTGGCATCGCTGGACTACAATTCCCACTTATGTGGAATTATTTCTACCAGATCGGTGTCTAGAATTCCAATGGCTAGTCTAAGGGAATGCGTGAACTTAATTGCAAAGGCCCTAGCGGCTGCCTGCCGCCTTAAATATTTGTTTATTTTATTTATCTGTGCAATCAAGAGCTGGGGTGCAGGTCAGAGGTGCAGGGGGTAAGAGGATTTATCAGAGTGGGGAGCAGAAGAAGGGGACCTACTGACATACACTGCTGAGGGGAGCAGCAGGGAGACAGGAGAGGTCTGCTGCGCCGCGTGGGTCACTCCCTGGCCGGGGATCGAGCTCGTGCTGCAGTGGCTGCGGACAGCTTCTTGGAGCTGAGATCTAGCCCCTTGTGCCCCAGATGGGAACCAGAAACAAGCAGAGTTGGGGGCAGACCCTGGAGTCTGTTCCCTTCTCAGAGGGACAGTGGAGCAGCCAGTAGTCTGGTGGTGAGCATCAAACATTTGATGGGAAGGGACTGATGGTCCAGGAGACATGGTAGCCAAGTTCTGCTTGACAAGAGGGGTCCAGTCCCTGCAGTCCACGGCTTGGCCTTAGCTTTGGGATTGGCCTGAGTATGATGAGGAAAAAGCAAGTCTGTGTCTGTCAGGGTGGATGCGTGGGTCGATTTTAAGTTTCCTCTTTGTCTTGTTTCTGTTTTCTCCATGGAATTGGGGGCACGATCATTTGCTGAAAGAGCAGAGATCCTGGAGGGGTGAGAGATGTAAAGTTCTCATCCCTAAGAGCAGGAGAATGAATTGACCAGGAAAATTAGGCGTCCAATAAAGTAGAATTTAAGGCAGAAGGTAGCAAATGGAACCTCCTGCCCCCAGAGAAGCACCATTTCAAACGAGTGGCAATTCCAACCCCCGAGCAGCCGTAGCGAGATGCCAGTGACCGAGGAAGCAGCGGCGCCGGCCTGGGGATGGCAATCAGCCTGGAAATGTAATTAGAAGCACACAGAAATACCACTGCACCTGCGAGCTAGAACATCTGCCTGTGATGGGTAGAGCAGGCAGGAAATAAATAAGGGGACAGAGAAATGCAGGGAGACAAGCGAAGGGAGTTCGATCCCAGGTGTCAGTCTTACAAGGGTGCTTTCCTGCCTGCTCCCATCTTTGTGTGACCATCATGCGATCACGCGTTCCTTTACAAGGGTGAACAGTAAATATTCAGGGAATGAGCTGGGCAGGGGGCAGGGGGGGGGATTTAAAAGAAAAGGCCACCGCAAAGTAAGCGTGGACAATGCCAAGAGCTGAAGTCAGGCCACGGGGTTGCGCTCCCTGTCAGTGGGCCTTCCCTCCCAGGCCTTGTGTGGAGCTGGGGGAGTGTCAGGGCCCCCACCCGCCCTTTGTGGGTTCTGGGTTGGCACCCACATGCTGGCTTGCGGGGGCGGCACTCTGCTGGGGATCCCGCTTGCTCTCTCTGGTTGTAGGTCTTCGGCTCCATCAAGGGGACACGAGTCGCCATCCTCCTGGACCTGGCCGCTGTCCACAGTGGCCCTCAGAAGGAGGAGTTCCAGAATGACCTGGAGGTGAGTCTCTCTGGCAAGAAGCACCTGGACCATCCCCCAGAGTCTGCCCTTGGTGAGCTTCATTGGCAGAAGATGCAAAATAGGGTGTTTTTCAAAGAACAGTTCACACTTCATTAGCACCTTCAGGTCAAAGAAATAGGTTGGGTTCAGAAAACCCAGCCCCAGCCTCATTTTCAGTAGCAGTGTGAGCTTCTAGTGTTCTCACCACAGCCACTCCCACTGGCTAGGCCTCACACTAAGCTCCGGGTTTCCTGGAAAGAGAAGACAGGACACCCCCCACCCACCCCACCCCCCGCCTGGCGCCCGCGAGGCAGAGCACAACCTTTCTTCGGCTCGTCCTGTGGGAGAAGCCGAGACAGTCCGTGACTGGCCCACCCGGCCAGGCCCATCCTCAGGGTCATGGCACTGGACCCCTCTGTGCCTCAGTGACGTCACTGATCATGGGGGTGACAGCGGTGGCCAGAGGCGGGCACACAAGCTGAGTGCTCAGGTCAAGGTCTGGTGTAGAAATACCCTCTGTGGTCTCTGTGAAGCGACTCGAGACACTGTGTTCTCCTGGGGCCCCGAGAGCTCTGTATCGAAACCCGCAGTGATGGTGGGTTCAAGGACCCTTCACACGCCTCAGCACAGGCCAGTGTCCAGGGCCCAGGCTCTCCCCTGTTCCTGGGCTCAGCAGGCGTCAGGGAACTTGTGTCTGTTCAATCCCCTCTGTGACAATCCCTCTCCGTGGGCTGGCGTGAGGGGAGCCAGGGAGAGCCCCTGGGTGGGCCATGAGGGAACTTTTCCAGCTGGAAAGAAGGTGGAAAAGCACGGGGCCGACCTGACTTCTTGCATGGAGACAGCTAGGACCCAGGGGCAGGGCAGACCCAAGCACACCTGGGAAAGACTGAGCTGGCAGGTGTTTTGGGGGGAGGCTCCCACACCCACTTCTGTGAGGCCTCCCACCTCTGCTCCCACTTGGGCTCAGCTGCACATCTGGGTGGGAGCCCCTGTTTCTGCTCAGGTCCCATTTGCAGTCGTCCCTCCAGCTAGCTCCCACGGTGGCTCTCTGCCTGACTCTAGAACCCTCCTGAGACTATGGCGGCTCCATCTCGGCCTCGTGGTGGATTCAGCTTGGGTAGTGCATACAGCACTGTGGTTTTCTCCTCCTCTCCCCGCCCTCTGGGCCCTGCCTGTTGACCTGGATGTCTGCCCACAAGGGATGGTTGTTTCTGACGTCCTTCTCACTCCTATTCCTCTACGCTCTCTCTATTCCCTCTTTTACCCCTTACTGATTAAAAATCTTTGGGCATAATAGAGATTGTTTACCTCAATTTTATGCACATGCATGAACAAGAAATCTTAGAATGGGCTCAGGGATATTCCCCCTTAAGTGTTTTGGGGCCCCTGGGTTCCCCTGGGGCCTGCCCAGTAGCAGAGGGCGGAGCTGTGTGTTTTCACCGCTTGCAGCTTGAGTGTTGCATCCATTGCTCCATCCCTAACACCCACCTTGGAGAAAAGCCACTGCCCCCAGGCTCTCCTCCCTCCCTCAATACCATACCAACCGGAGCACACAGTGGTGCTCATCCCACCCGCACCCCAGGCCCCAAAGTGTGTGCAACCCTCAGAGAACATCAGCCTGCAAATCTATGGAAATGAGTGAGGACACAGCTTCCATGCCCAGACCAGGCACACAGCCATGGACAGGCTGAGAGCAGAGCGAGGGTGCACATCCCACACGCCCATGGGACCCAATGCACACAGGAAGCAAATGTCAGCCTGAGCTGACCCTAAGCCAAGCCTCAAGTGACCCTGTTTCAGCACATCTCACACCCTGGCCCTAAGGGGCAGCCATGCATAAGTGGGGAAGCCATCTCCTCCTGGGAGTCTGACAGCCTCTTGTCCTCCAGAACCTCATTGAAGAGCAGCTGAGTCACAAGGAGAAGCTATACGTCCTGTCCTTCAGCTCCACCGCCAGCGCCCTCTGGCCAGACCCTGTGGATGTCAGTGCCTCCGTGTAAGTGGCTGCCGGCCTGGGCCAGCCTGTTCCCGTTTTTATTTTTCACCCTAAGAATTAGTGTCTTCCTTGAATGATTAAAGGGCAGCCCTCAAGGCCCCAATAGATAAAGGGCAAAAGGAGGCAATTCACAAGAGTGAGTGCACAGGAGGCCAGTAACTTTTGGGAAAATTGTCACCCTCACAAGCAAGCCACAAAATGAAAGACAAGCTTGACACCCCTTTAATCTTGTTTCTCCAGCAAACAAGCAAGGTAGTTTGCTATCTTTGCTATGATGAAATAGTGCATGTTCTTTTTCAAAGGCTCAAGCTGTGCATAAGGATGGATGATAACAAATGAGTCTCCTTCTTACCCCAGGTTCCTTTGTCACCTCCAAAAATCAGCTCCCTGTAACCAGCCCACAGTCTGCACATGCTTGCAGCTGTATGGTTACCCGCTTTTTGCTGAGACATAAACATTACAGGAGCACAGTCTTGTACCTTGAATTTTCACCTAACTTTGAATATCATTCTCTCTCAGAACAGCATTCTCTCTCTAGCCTTTTCTTTTTGACGACTACATAATATTCCACAGAGTAGATGTGCTATAATGTATTTAACTAGGCCTTTATGAGTTTCTAATTTAGAGTATTTGTTCATTTGTTTATTTGTTTAGGGGGTGTTTATGTGTGTGTGAAAATTTCTACTTATCTGTGGCAGTATGTAGAGATTTCTTTTCCACAAGTGGAATATCCTTGATCACCCACCAAAGGTTAGGTACCACTCCAGTCACTTCAAGTGTATTATCTTATTTAATGTTTCTAGACAACTCATGGAAGAGGATAATTATCCTAATTTTGCAGATGAGGAAGCTGGGATTCAGGTCAGAAAAGACACCAGAGCTGCAGCTCCAGATTGGACTCCAGAGTCTAGAGCAAATTAAAATACACGTTCGTATTTCTGGGATGAGATCCATGTGCCTGGCAGGAGCTGTGGAGAGGGACCCTGTAGGCAGAGAAGTGCTAATTCTGGCAGCTCTGGCTTTGAATCTGGCAGTTCCTGGGAGCTCGTGACCTTTCATTCTCACTCGCACAGTGAGGCCAAGAGTACCTTCTCCTGGCTGAATTATTGCAGAGATAAAATAAAAACAAGCGCTTTGCACGGGGCTGGTTTTGGGTACACAAGAGCATGGTCCTGTGGTTTCCACTTTGGACTCCTCCTCACCCCTGCAGTGTTAGCTCTGGACGTGACCTTGACCTCAGCTAGCCAAGATTCCTCAACTGTCATCGCTCCCGAGCTTGTCTTGTGATTTTTGTCATCTCTGCCACGTGCACTGTTATTTGCCCCGTGCCTCTCTCGCCATCACGGGTTTTCCTGACAGCCACGCTATTATTAGAGGGCACCGTCTGCCAAGACCATAACTGGGAGGCCCTTATCACTTACTGTCATTAGAAAGTTGCCATAAAAATAAACACAGTGAGGGCCCTCCCTGGTGGCGCAGCGGGTTAAAGCACAGCACTAAGAAGCTTAAGCCACTTCCGCATGAGTTCGATCCCACCTGCCCGGGAGGAGACCACATGGCGCAGCAGACCTCTCCTGACCTGCCCGCTGCTCCCCTCAGCAGTGTACTTCTTCATTCTGCCTGTTCTGCTCCCCACTCTGTGTCTGGTGAATCCTCTCACTGCCCCTGCACCTTTGGCCTGTACCCCAGTTCTGTATGCACAAATAAATAAATCTTAAAAATATATAAAATAAAATAAACACAATGAAAGCAAACAAAGTAATGACATGAAATTCCAGCTTGACTCTGCTGGCTAGGAAACAAGCCGGGCCTGGGGATTTTCTCTCTCTTTTAAAATGAGGTGCAATCGTTCTAACAGCAGTCAGACTGACCAGTTCTGGGCTGGGGTTGTCTTGTGGTCAGACTGGACAGGGAAACGAAAAGCGCAGAGCTCTGTCCCAGGCCTCGAGAGATCTTGCTGAGTCATTTCCCCTTCCCATGGTGGCTACCCCTGTCCCCGAGGATGGGGACCTCACCTTGTCCTGGAGCCCTCGTAAGGTTAGGGGCTCACTCTGCTTCAGGCGAAGGTCTGCCACCCAGGAGAACTGGGAGTTTGGGGGTGGGGGGACGAGTGAGGGCCCTGACCTCGGCGTCGCAGGACGCTGCAGTCAGCCCCTGAGCTTGTTTGAAATCTCACCCACTGCCTGCTGTTGGCAACAGCATGCGGGCAAGCCCTGGCCGAGCCCCAGCTTCCTCATCTTCAAGACTGGAAGAAAGGTCTCACCTCAAAGGATTATGGGCAAGTTTACATGAGTTCGCATCTGTCCTGGGCCTGCTGTGACTATTGTCCACTGTTGTCCCCAGGCTCCAGGAACTCAGACTCTGGGTGAAGAGCCTGCAGCCTGGCAGAGGGAGCAATCTGCTCCAAGCGCTGAAGAAAACCTTCGCTGTGAAGGGGCTAGATTCTCTGGTGACCATACTGGGAAGCGGGTAGGTCTCCCTTCCTGAGCTGGTAACAGGACTTGAAGGGGCCCAGAGGTCCAGAACTGTTGCTGCAAGACCGCCAAGCAGCACCCTCTGCACACTTGGGAGAGGGTGTCACAACCTTGGGCCAGGGCCCGCCGAGGTGCTCAGCCTGCCTCTCCCCCAGGTGGCCCGGGGCACAGAGGACGGTCCCATTTGTACATGGTCCCTGGGGCTCCCCACCTGACTCTGGGGTGTCCTCCAAGTTGCTAGACCTGAGATGCCCCCTCCTCTTCCTCCATCTTCCCCCAGCCCGGATCAGCCTCCGGAGATCCTGTCTGACTACATCCAGCAGTCCGTCGTGGGCAGGGTTCTGCTTGTCCACCTCATCACCTACAAATGCGACAGTCAGGTACCCCTGGTAAGCTGCTGAGGTCTTCCCGCTGCCCCTTGGCTGGGCCATGGACAGCGACACCAGCCTTCGAGGCCCATGCTTGGATCAGCCCCCTCGCTGAGGGTCAGCCACCATTGCTTAGACCTCAGGGTCCTTGTTCCGCACCGGGCAGCCCAGGCGGGAGCTGGCTAGGGTGTCAGTGCCCCTGGTGAGGGCCGCCCCGTGCTCCCCACAGGCAGTCCTGAAGAACCTCGCAGAAGCTCTTGAGGGCTCCTACCACTGCTACAGCCCAGAGACGGAGGTAAGCCCTTCCCCACGCAGCCCCTCGCTCGCTGCCTTCCCCTAGGTTCCTGGGGACCTGGTCCAGGACAGACAGGTTTGCACGGGTAAAACCAAATCTAAATGAACAGGCAGGAAGAACAGGGACACGGAGCCAAGAGAGGCCCCTTGCTCAGGTGTATGATGACTTGATTATACGCCTGTGAGACTTCTGAAAGCCCAGCAGGGAGAAATCCTGCATCTCGATCCTGTCGCCATCAATGGGGTTCACACCACCTCTGCTCCCACCGAAGTGGTCAGACTGAAAAGGCGGCCTCTGTTCTGACTCCCAGATGGACTCTTGCTGCCCGGTCCCTGCAGAAATTAATTCCAAACGTGTAATCTATCCTGTACCCGCCGATCTGTTAATGACCTTAATAATAAAACACCAGGCACCCCACGTCCACAAAGGAGGTGACAGCTAGTGAGTTGCATGCAGGTCCATTTGGCAAATGGACCTGAGACTGTCGGGTTCTCAAGGCCGTGTCTTGTGTGCTAACTACTCATGTCCATAAGTGAATGAATGTTGGCTTCTCATGAGTGTGTCCGGCCGCCACAAAGTGTAACATTTCACACCAGAGCGCCAAGGTCAGCCAACATTTTCCTTGGTCATCAGCCTTTTTGGGTGCCCACTGCCCAGACTCGGTTCATAGAGGTCACAGACTGCAGGGCCTAAGAAGGTGAGTGGATGAATGAAACTGCCTGGTTTAAGAAATAGTTTATCTAAAAGCCTCCTGGCTTATCTGCTGTTTTCTGCTCTCGATGGGGAGATGAATACAGCAAATTCTACCATCATCTTTAACGTGAACCAAACAGCCGTGAAAGGATGACCCAAAACTTGCAACTGACTCCCAAGGGAAGGTGAAAGGGAGTGGCGGGGACTGTGGTGATCTGTATGGCATCCCCGGCTGGGGAGTCCCTTCCGCAGAGCTCTCGCTGATTGCTACTCTGTTGGCATGGGGCTTCGGGACTGCTAGGTCTTCCCGTTTTTCAAGAACCAGAAATCTGGACTTTTGGCTGTGATTTCTTTACATTTTTTAAATTGAGGTGAAAGTCACGTTAAGTTAACCACTTTAAAGTGAACAATTCAGTGGTGTTTAGTATAGTCGCAATGTTCTGCAAACACCTCCTTTATCTGTCCCAAAACAGTTTTATCACCCCAAAAGGAAACTCCGTGCTAGCACTCCCTGCCCCCCCCACGCCCCACCCTGCAGCTCCTGGAATCCTCCAATATATATTCTGCCTCCGGATTTACCTGTCTGGATATTTCGCATAAATGGAATCACACCTTTCACATCTGTGTTCTTTCAGTTGGCTGTTCCCTGTCAAGGTCCGTCTTTGGTGCAGCATGTATCAGAACTCCATTCCTTTTTATTTTTGAATAACATTCCTCTTTCTGGCGTGGCTTGCACCACTCAGTAGCCGAGTGGCTGATTGCTCCCCCAGATCTTCACCAGCCGGGAGGTGGATGAGCTGCAGGCGGAAATCCAGGAAGCCCAGAGCCTGATGGGCCACATCCGAGCCCTGGGCCACAGCAGCCCCTGTAAGGCGCTAACCCACATGATGAAGGAGGTAGGTGGCATGAGCAAAGATTCCAGAAACTTCTCCCACTCGGCCGGCCACCACCACGCTCCTCTCTCATTTGTCTCTCAGAGAGCCTTGCTGTGCAGTCCCCACCCCACCCTGCCTCAGGCCTGAGCCAGGCAAACCCCTCTCTCTGCCGTGTCCCCAGACTCTGCTGTCTGGGCCAGGCACAGAGCCAAGATCCTCTGTGCCCGAAGGATCTTGGTGGATCTCACTGAAAAATTCATTTCAGAGAAAGGCCAGTAGGTTCCTGCCTCTGCTCCCACCCAACACGCCGTCTCCCTCTCCCCAGTTTAGGGAGCGATGAAAACCTGGACCACGCCGGATAGACTGTCTTGAAGGCCTTTGCCACCAGCACCTCCCCTGCTCAGGGCAAACCTCCCTGCTTGGTCAGATTAAAACCAGCAGAGCAGCCCAGCTGGCTCTGGCCCCGGCTCCACGAAAGCTACGTGTGGTTTAGAACACTTAGCTAGCTGTGGGCAGCAGAGAACTGAGAATCCCTATACAGAGTCACCAAGAAGATAGGGAGGGGGAGAACCCCACATTTGGCCTGTTTGGATGTATTAAAGGAAACAGGGCCCTCCCTGGTGGCGCAGCGGGTTAAAGCACAGCACTGAGAAGCTAAAGCCACTTCCGCATGAGTTGATCCCCGCCTTGCCCGGGGGTTGCCCCCTTGCCGTGGCAGACCTCTCCTGACCTGCCCGCTGCTCCCCTCAGCAGTGTACTTCGTAGATCTGCCTGTTCTGCTCCCCACTCTGTCTCTGGTGAATCCTCTCACTGCCCCTGCACCTCTGGCCTGTGCCCCAGTTCGGTATGCACAAATAAATAATTTTTAAAAAGAAAAGAAAGAAAGAAACAGCACCTACAGACCAAGATCTTAAGTTTGAGCGAAGCTCCCCTCCTCTGCTGACTACCATCTTTAAATAACAGCGGTAATTGTTAGTACTGTGATGATTCACATACTCTTCAGTCTTTTAAATGGAGATATCACTGACATAACATTGTGTAAGTTTGAGATGTGCATGGTATCGGTTTGATACATTTATAGACACGACAATTAAGCTTACACCCTAAGCACATAATTATCATTTCTTTTTTGTGTTGAGAATGATTCAGATCTACTCTTAGTAACTTTGAAGTCACTGTATTGTGCATTTTATAATAAACACTCACAACAGGATCCATGCTAAATTCCCTCATTTTTCCTTACAGTGACAATCTGATAATGACATGACCCCCACTTTACAGAGAGGGACACTGAAGTTAAGAGGTTAAATAATTTGCCCAAGATCACCAATCACACTTGCAATTTGCAAAATGATTATAAGCCGATACAAGGATGAATAGTTTTTATGGGTTCTGTATCAAAAATTGACTGATTATGATAAGAATAGATCTTTCTGAAATTAAGTACAGAAAGTGGAGCCCAACTGAAAAAGTAAATCAAATTATAATTTAAAAGCACTGATTTTTGATTTTTAAAAATTTTATGATAGTGTATTTGTACATATTTTTGTGCATTTTTCCATCTCAGTTGCAATCCCCTTGGGTTTCCCATCACCAAATCGCCCACGTGCCATCACCATAGGCCAGTGCATTTCCCTCCTCCCATAAAGTGATTATGTATTTTTTAAAGATTTATTTATGTATGCATACAGAACTGGGTGCCAGGCCAGAGGTGCAGGGGGTAAGAGGCTTCACCAGAGACAGAGCGGGGAGCAGAACAGGCCGACTGAAGAAGTACACTGCTGAGGGGAGCAGTGGCGGGCCAGGAGAGGTCTGCCGCACCATGTGGTCACCTCCGGGGCCGGGAATCAAGCTCACATTGAAATGGCTGCGGTCAGCTTGCAGTGCTGCATCCTGACCTTGCTGAGGGGAGCAGCGGGCAGGCCAGAAGAGGCCTGCCACGCCGTGTGGGTCACCCCCCTGGCCAGGAATTGAACTCGTGCTGCAGTGGCTGCTACAGCTTCATAGTGCTGCGCTCTAACCCACTGTGCCTGCAAGGAGGGCTCACATGTTTGATTTTTAAAAAAATTTAAGTGAGTGAGTGTGCAGAGACACCCAGATAGGGCAACATTCCCAAGGTGATTCTCAAAATGCCCTCAGTTTGGGAACTGCTGTCCTATGTTATTCTCACCTAAACAGTGTAATTTAACTTCTCAGACCCTCAAGTTTTCCATCTGGAAATGTGGGCAAGGGGAGGCTGGGCTAAATCAGTTACTTTTCGCCCCCTGAGGACCTGTGTTTTGAACTCATGGAGGGAAGCCCTCATCTTGGTGACAGTGCTGACCTGACTGTTCAGGGTGGGGCAGGAGCAGGAGGATGGACAAGGAAAGGAAGAGTGGAATTGCCAAGAACATCTCCCTTTTCCCCTGGAAATTCCAGAAATTTCCAGAGAAGGGGATGGGGCTGGTGGGAGGAAAAGTCAGAACTACCTTTAATTTACCAGGTACCTACTTACAGTGTTTCATGGAGGGGTTGAGTGGGTGTGGGGAGTCTGAGGATTCAGCTCTAAAATATGATTATGTAATGAGTGTTTCTAATTTCATTTAGATTTCTACATCATTTGCAAACGGACCAATCACAAGTCTCTTGCCTAAACCCCCAAAACATGAGGCTCCCCTCACAATCGAGTTCCCAAGCTTGGACCAGACTTCTGCAGAATGGCTGAAGCTCAATGGCCTTAGAGGTAACCCCCAGATGGCAGGTCCAGGACTGAGAGGCATGAACCTCTAGTGCATCAAATAGGGCCTCAAACCACACTATTTATTTTACAGCCAAGAAATTAAACCTTTATCAAGTTCTGGCACCCAACGCATTTTCTCCTGTGGAAGAATTTGTGCCTATTCTCCAGAAAACAGTGTCTTCAACTGTCCACGAGGTAACCAAGTGCTGGGCTCTCTCCATGCTTTGCAGAGGATTTCCCTGTGGCACTTCCCTCGTGAACGTTCCAGAGAAGTCTTAAGCCGGCCGGGGAGCAAGGGCTCTCCAGCTCTCTCTCGTCCCGTCTATGCTGTTATTTTCCAAAGATCTGAAAATGAAACTTGGGATATGGGGTGAAAGGGAAATTCAGTAGCTATCACCTCCCCTGGGCAGTCTCTGCCCTGCTCAGAACATGCTCGTCCCTGTGTCCTCACTGGACCTTCAAAAGAAAAAACTCTCGTCCGCTGTGGGGATGTCCGCTGTGACATCCCCAATGTCCAGTTCAAGGATCGGTCAGTGAGTGCTTACTGAAAGCTGAGTGGGTGGGAGGGGGGGTGAATGGGTGGATGGAGGGAAATGTGAACAGTTGGGGGGATGGAAGGATGGGTGACAGGATCGGGCAAAAAAGACTAAAGGATGAAAACTACAATTTCAGCTAGATAGAAGGCTCACGGAGGGCAGGGAGGACTGATAGGCGAGAGCTAAGTGGGAAAGTGGCAGGAGGAAAGCGAAAGGAGATGGTGGAGGGGGGGTGGGAAATTCTCACAGTGCTTGGTGAACGCCTAGAAGAAGCACTCGGTTGCCATGAACAGCTCCATTTCGAAAGTGTCCGTGAGGCCCTGTCTAGAACCCCCAACCTAAGAACCCATGGCCAGACTGCTCTAAGGTCCGTGGCTCTGCTCTTACCAAATTGTCTCCGAACATATCTTGTAATGAGGGCGCTGGTATTGAGAAGACCCTTCCAAGAAGGCACCCCAGATTGCTGCCGAGCACGGATCACTTGGGTCTGCTGCTCTGAAGACCCTCTGCTGATGGCTGCAGACGAGGGGTGACCCAGGGTGCGGAGGGGCAGTAATCTGACCCCAGATGTGTTCAGAGTTACGACCCTCTCAGGCACAGTGCCCAGGGTTTTTGACTAACTTCTTTCCCCATTTTTGTTTCTGCTCACCTGCTCCCCCTCCCGGCAACACCTGAGTGCAGAAGGCAATGGTACAATTTGAATGGCATGATGGGACAGTGAAAAATATTCACGTGGATGTGCCCTTCCTCTATGAGTACCAGGTCAGCGGTGGGGCCAAGCACCAAGGGGTGGGAGGGAAGCACCTGACTTTATGGGAAGCCCCCCACCACAGCCCCTTCTGGACCTTTTTCCACACCCTCCCCTGGTAGAGACCTAGATGCGTCAAGCAAGTCTCTAACCCTTTGGGGAAAGAATTACCCCGTTGATGCAATGAAACACTTTGCTTCTTCCTGGCCTGGCAGCAGACTGACCCATGATTCTACTGCCTGGATAACCACGACCTTGACGCATCATTTCCATAAAGGCCAACCGGAGTCCGCCCTCCCCTCTGTGGCCGTCGGTCAGTTACACACAATACATTCACTCACTGGTGTGGCCCATGCTTTTGCAGAAACAGCTCAACAAAGTCATGCGGATATATGAGAGGCGCATTGAGTGGCTGTCCTTGGCCAGCAGAAGAATTTGGGGCACCGTCTGTGAAAAAAGGTACTTTCCCCTAAGAGTGCCCTTGTCCTTCATGAGTCTGTTGTGGGACACAACACTTATCAAATGTTCATCAGCAGCTCATGAATTCCCTGGGACTGGCATCAGAAACCATCACTTTGATTAAGGGTCAACAAATACTCAGCAGGACCCCTGGAGGAAAAAGTGACCGCCATCATCAGCATCAATAATAATATCACTTGGTGTTGCTCAGGGTTCTTTCTGTTGCTCAGAAGCAGCAGACAGTAAATGCAAATTGACTTAAAAACAAATTAAGTAAGTTTGGTTGAAGTAGATGAAAATCCAGAATAGATTTGCTAGCTGTCTTCAGGCATAGTTTGATCCAGGGGCTCATGCCTGCCAGGGAATCTGTCTCCACCTCTCAGCAGTCCTTCCGTCTCTGTTGGTCTCCCTCAGAGACTCCCCTCATGCAGGTGGCCAGAACACCACCAGAGCCCCAACTTCCTTCCTCCTGACAGCACCCCTAGGGCATGGGCCGCTGTTCACTCTGGCAAGAAAGGCATGAAATTCTGATTGTCTAGGGCCAAAAACCCACTCTTAAAGCTTGAGGTGTGGCTAGTTCCACCCAACTTAAGTGGACTGAGAGAAGCACAGATGTTTCCCAAAGGCAAAATCAGGATGCTGTTGCCAGAAGGTAAGAGATATCTAGGAAGGGAGAAAAAAAAGAGTAATCTCTTATAGCCATTCTAACATTCCACACCTTTTTTGATGTGTTGCCACTTACAAAGTATTACACTATTATATCACTTAATTTTCATTGCAACCCTATGAAGAGTCTTCTTATAAATGGCTTTAGCTATGACAAGGATCAGAGAGGTTTTATGACTTGTCTAAGGTCACACAGAAAGCAGGACTTGAACCAAGGTCTTCGGATTCTAAATTCAGTTGATTTTCTTTGACTACTGTGCATCTCAAAATGAGAAAAGAGGGAAGAGATGGGACTATAAAACTTGAAATAATAAAAGAAGGCTGAATAAGGTTAAAGAACTAACAACAGAGAGACAAAAAAAAATCCAAAAATTTCCCCAGAGGCCCAGATATACCTAATTCTCCATCTAACTTATTTCTGTTTTCCCTCACCTATAGTAACGGTGACTCCTGGTGCTTTTAAAGCTGTGTGTGGAAACCTTCTCTGCAGCCCCTGTCCCGTAAGCCATCCCCACCATCACAGGGCCTCCTGGGAGAGAATGTTCCCAACCCCCTCATCGACTGCTGTAAACCAGCCTCCATTGACCTCAAACCACAAAGAGGATTTTGGCAAGCTTTGAATTTGGCATGCAAAATTTCCCTGGAAAAAACTTTAAAGAGTAAAATGGAACAAAATAAACAGTATCTGAGAGATTTGGTTCGCCTCTTAAAGCTTGTGTTTCTTTATAGGGTGATTATACTGCTCGATATCTCTGCGACAAATTCCATGTACATTATTCATATCCAGCACTCCCTGCGACTTCTGCTGGAAGAGCAACTGTCCAACAAGGACTCCTTCAACATCATCGCGTATGACCCCGGCGGTGGGCAGCAGGGAGGGCCTGTGTGCTTGGAGGGTGCGGCGGGGCTGAGGCTTCGGGCAGGCAGCTGGTCCACCAGATGTTTTAAGCACCCAGCAGCCTAAGATGCCCATTGTTTTATCTGATTGGAGTGATCTTGTTTGGGGCATTGAATAATTAAATGGCTGCCGGACAGCCCCACTGGGGCGAAGGTGGTAAGCGGCCCCAAACACACCGGCTGATCAGCCAGAGGAAAGTAACTCAGCCCATTGTCCCATTTGGCCTTCAAACTGATAAACACAGACGAGAAAAAGAAGGGCCCAGACATGCGCCAGCCCTCATTCCCAGCTCAGTTCTAGCCAGCCACGCCATCTCACGCATTTAGAACCCCAATTAAGATTTTTAATTGCATACACCTATATGCAATTAAAGAACATGTGTATATAAAATATATATATAACTGTATATATATTTAAATCATATGTAAAACTATCATTATCTCTAATCACTATATATATTACAATACTTTATATATACATTGAAAACAGAAATACACTTGAAATACATATATTGCATTTTAGATTTTAAAATATATTTTACATATAAATTATATTTACCTAAAAATTTAAATGTTGTATAGACCTATATATTTGAACCAGGCAGGATACATGTAACTATTCATAACTTAAATATATGTGATCATATATAGTTATAGGTAATTGAAATATATAGTCCTATATAATTTAAGTGCATGTAGTTATATATTTTTGTAGCTGCATACCATTTTAATGACAGGGAAGAGGAAGAAGGAACCCACTTGAGTATACATTTTGGCATAATCCCATATCAAGTAGGAAATAATGTAAGCCTAGTAAGTCAGCAGTTGATATTATATAAATCTACATAAATCCTATCCTAGAACCTAAGTTTATACTAATAAATTCTATAGGAAAAAGGACTGAAGGAAACATTTGAGGCAATATTTTCACTCGCTCAACAAACTTATTGAAAGTGGCTACACGCCAGGCACTGTCGTAGGCTCGAGGGCTGTGGGAAGGAAGCCCTTCCCACATAACAGCTGCCCCAGGAACGTATGGCCCGTGGTTGGGAACTGGGCCTGTCAAGACACAGTGTTTTCTGTAGAAATGGGGCAGAATTGGGACATCAGGGGTCAAGTCCCTCAGGATCAGTCTCCACTGTAGAGTGAGGTCAGGAAATCGCTGTAGAGGAGGTGACCCTTGGCTGAATCTTGACAAATAAGTAGGGAGTTTGCTTAGCACCCGGGGATGGAGTCCCCTACAGGAGGAGGGACATTCCAGGTATAGGGAACAGCTTGAGCAAAGGCACAGAGGTGTGAGTTATGGCAGAACTTTTGGGAACCATCAGTTAATTCAGTGTAGACTGGGGGTGAGAGGAGAAGATTGTACATGACCCAAAAAAATGGTGGGGAATTTCTATAAGCCTAGCTCGGGAGCTTTTAACTCCAGGGCATTGAAGGAAGTTAAGCAAGGTAGTACTGTGATCAGTGTTGCATCCTGAAATGTCCAAGCGAGAATGTGAAGGAAGAATTGAAGGGGTGGACCCAGGAGGGGAGAGGCCACCTGCACGTTTGCCATAGCCTGTAGTCATGAATGGGCTTGAGCAGAGGCCCTGGGGGCGCAAGCAAGGGATTTGAATGGCCAGCGCTGGGTCAGCACCTGCAGGCTGCGCTGGAGACTGTGGGGATGAGGAGTGGTGAGGAGCAGTGTGCCCGGGCGGGGAGCAGATTTTGAAAGTGGAAGATGGTTGTAAACGTGCAGAGTCTGAGACTCTTGAGACACAGTCTCTTTGGCACTCCAGTGAGGGTCTAGCCAGCAAATAGGAGTTTGCAAGCCACTGACAGTTCCGTTATATGGTTGAAAGCAAAGGAGGGTGTGAACCTCCCCCGTGGAGACGAACTTGGGACGCCTTGGCCTTGGGGGGTGGCAGAGGAAGTGAACCCCCAAAGGAATATGAGAGAGGACGGCTGGGAAATGGTGCTGGGAGGGCGGGGTGCAGGACTTGGGAAGAAACAGCGAGGTCCTCAGAGGCAGAGAAGGAAGGGGGGAGAATGAGGAGTCGTCGGATTTGGGGTAAGAGCTCATGGATACGACAACGTTTGTTGCAACTCAGTGTGGCAAATACTGAAAGGATTGGCAATGCCCAGTGCTGGTGATGGTGTGGCCTGTGCCTTCCCATCATGGGGATGCAGTCAAAATGCTCCCCGCTTATCCGCCTGGGGCGCCCAACAAGACAGGACCGGAGTGTGCCTCCCAGCAAGCCCTGGCCCTTCCTCCCAGGTTTGGAAGCTCGGTTGAAAGCTGGAGCCCGGAGCTGGCTGCCGTGAGCCACAGCAATTTGCAAAGTGCCTGGCGGTAGGTGGTGGCAGGGGTGGCCCTGGTCTGAGGGCTGCTCTGAGGGGGGCCTCTTCTCCGTCCTCGCCAGCAGGAGGTGGTTCTCTGGACTCCCTGCCCCCTGACAGGCTTGGGCATGAATGGGAAAATAACCGCTTCCCTCACCCTGGACTGTGACCGACCCCCCGGCCCCCTGGGCCTCACCTCACGGCCTCCCCCCACCTGGGCCTCACCTCGCGGGCCCCCTCAGCACAGCCTCCCGCCTCCAGGTGGGCCCTGGGCCTACGGTGTCACGGAAGCAGAAATGTCCTCGGCGCCCTGCGGAAGGCGGTGGAGGTGGACTTCAAGGACAAAGACAGACACCAGTCGCAGGGCATCTACCTGTTCACAGGGGGCATCCCCGACCAGGACGTGGTGAGTGGACCACCTGGGCGCCTCTCACCCTTGGGGACCCCACCCCGCCCCCAGGTTCATGCCAGGCCACTGGCCGCCCCAGAATGAGTTTGCAAACCAGAGTGCCTCAAACGAGTGTGCAGTCCAGCTGGGCCGTGGTTAAGAGGCAGATCCTGGTTCCAAATTGGGGCTGGGGGGGGGTTTCCTGAGAGTCTGATTCTAACAAGGAGATATCTGGGCTCCAGTCTCTCCTGGTGTCCTGGGGCTCTGGGTCCCAGCTCCTCCTTCAGACCCTGCTAAGAGCGTAGCAAAGACTAACCAGGCTCATTCTTCTTTCTGGCCTCAGTGCCAAGTACTAGAATGAGTGCAAGGTGGGCCCTCAAGAAGGGTGATGAGGGGCTTCCCTGTGGTGCCGGGGTTGAAGTCAGTGCTATCAAGCTATCGCCAGCCACTGCAGCATGAGTTCCATCCCCGGCCAGGGAGCTGACCCACATGGCGCAGCAG